TTCAGCTCAAGGCTAGCGCTCTACCACTTGAGCCACAGCGCCACTTCCGGCTTTTTTCTTTTTGCTTATGTGGTGCTGAGGAATCGAACCCAGGGCCTTAGGCATGCAAGGCAAACGCTCTACCACTGAGCCACTTTCCCAGCCCCTGGCTTTCTATTCTTAAACATAGTTCCATCTTGAGTTCTGACTAGCAATATTCTAATATTATGTCAGGGAAGGACTCAAAGATTCCTTCTGGTTTTGTAGTCCTCTGAAAACCTCTTGTTTGGGAAAGAGGGTGGGCGGGGAGGAGAAGGGAAGGGAGTAGATGTGGGAGAGTAATGAAGAGAGTAAGTCTAATCAAGGTACATTGTATGCATGTATAGACAAGTCCACATGGAACTCTTTTCTACAACTGAAAACAATAAAATAAATCAAATGCCTCTTTCTCTGGCCTAAGTATTCATTGTCACATATTACAATTTTTCATGGCAATTTGGTAGTAGAAATTCCTTGTAAACTGGGTACTGGTGGCTCATGACTGTTATCCTAGCTACTCAGGAGGTTGAGATCTGAGGAATGCAGTTCAAAGCCAGTCCAAGCAGGAAAGTCTTTGAGCCTCTTATCTCCAATTAAACACTAGAAAACTGGAAGTGGCACTGTAGCTCAAAGTGATAGTATGCTAGCCTTGAGCAAAAGAGCTCAGAACAACACCGGGCCCCAAGTTTGCTCCAGGAACAACACAACATAAAAAACTCCATTGAAATTAATTTATTGGTACAGTTCTTTATTCTTTCCATAAGTAGTACTAATCCAAGTTTTTGGTTTGGTTGGTTTTACTAGTTTCTGACTCTTCTGTTGTTGTCTAGTTTTTGTTGTTTATTGTTTATTTTTCTGAGGGTCCTGGGGCTCAAACTCAAAGAGTAGGATCTGTCCCTGAGCTTTTTGGTTCAAGGCTGGTGCTCTACTATTTGAGCCACACCTTCAGTGCTGGCTTTTTGGTAATTAAGTGGAGATACATCCTGCCAGGGTGACTTCAATCCACAATCCTCACTTAGCCTCCTGGATAGCTAGGATTATAGCCTGAGTCTCTGGTGCCTGGCTCTGACTAGTTTTTTAGTTACTAGTTTCTTAGTACTTGTTAACCTAAGAAGGAAGCCTATACTAAAGTAGAAGTTTCTAAAGACCCTAAGATCAGTGAGATCAATCAAGCATTTGACCTGTATGCAGAAGGTAGGACAGGAGAACCAAGAAAAAGAAGAATCCTTAGCTCCTGACAAACTGACCAGAGACTGGAAAATGTTTGGAATTGGATTTACCAAGAGTCACCAAGCCACTTGTCCAAGGAGAAAGAATGGGTTCTCATGGTAGTGGAAGATAGGCTAATTCAGATTTGTTTATACTGTCTTTCTCCAAAAGTATATATCTAGATGGGTTATCTGGATTCCTGAATCTGATTTTTGTAGAAAGGGAGAATATGGATGCCTCTGGGATGGTCATGACTTGAGAGTCAGATTACACGTCAGGGATGCCATGAGATCTACCCCACCCTTCCAAAAGGATCTTCTATTGGTACCAAGCCAGGTCCCCATGTGAATAGTTTCCTGCTGTTGGGAAACTTCTAATTCTATCACTGAGGGAAGGATGTGGAATCACACTGTGAAACTGTATATGATATGGGAGCTTTGCATCAAGCCCATTGAGTTTTAATCATCACTTTACCTTAGTGACCTTGAATAATTACTTGAACTTATTAGGGCTCACTTTCTCTTCAATAAACAAAAACTGAGAAATCAAGTGCCAGTGGCTCACACCTGCAATCCTAGCCACTCAGGAGATTGTGATCTGAGGATCCTTCTTCATAGCCAACCTGGGCAGGAAAATCCATGAGACTTGTATCTCCAATTACCATCAAAAAGCCAGAAGCGGAACTGTGGCTCAAGTGGTAGAGCACAGGATTGTGCAGAAAAATTCAAATAAAAATTAGAGAAGAGTGCAAACCTCTGAGTTCAATGCTTCGTACCAGCACAAAACAAAAACTTGAGAGAGAGAGAGAGAGAGCGCCAAAGAGAGAGAGAGAGAGAGGCAGAGAGAGAGCAAAGCCTGTCTTCCAGTTTGTGTGATACGTAAATGAATACATATCCCAGAGTGACAAATGTGAGCACAGGAGGACATTGCTCATATTAGTTACCTTTGTCTCTTTCCCTTGGCCTCAGGTCCAGATGAGGAAACAGCCCAGTGGTGCCAATGAGAACCAAACCACCTGGCTGATCCTAGTGGGCTTTGGGGAGCTGCATTCCCTGGGCTTCCTCCCCTTCACCCTCTTTCTGGCCATCTATGTTTTGACAGTCAGCGGCAATATCCTCATCATGGTGGCCGTGGCCTCCAGCCGGATACTGCACACACCCATGTACTTCTTCCTCTGCCATTTCTCCCTGCTGGAGATCGCCTACACGTCCAACATCATGCCTTGGCTCTTAAGTAGTTTTCTGGAAGGGAGGGAAGTCATCTCCCTGTTGAGCTGCCTGGTCCAGTTCTACATGTTTGCCTCCCTGGCGGCCACTGAATGCCTCCTGCTCTCTGCCATGTCTTATGACCGTTACTTGGCTATCTGTCATCCCCTTCACTACCCTGTCCTCATGAGCACCTGGCTTTGTACCTGCCTGGCCATGGGTGCTTGGTTTAGCGGCTTCCTCTTCTCTGCCTTCACTCTGGCCCTGGCAGCCCCTCTGTCGCTCTGTCCTGACAGCAGAGAGATCGACCATTACTTCTGTGACTTTGCTCCAGTTGTGGGGCTGTTCTGTGGGGATGTGGAGGTCCTGTGGGGAGCTGGGGTCAGCATCTCTGGCTTTCTGACGCTGGCTCCCTTCCTGTTGATTGTCACTTCCTATGGCTTCATCCTGAGGGCTGTGCTGTGCATACCTTCAGTCCATGGGAAACAAAAAGCCTTCTCCACTTGCTCCTCCCACCTCAGTGTGGTTGGGGTGTTCTATGGAACTCTCATTGTGGTCTATGTGGCTCCAACAGACCACATGCTCCCCTTGCTCCGAAAGTCCTTCTCTGTCCTCTACACAGCTATCACCCCCATGGCCAACCCTATCATCTACAGCCTCAAGAACAGAGAAGTAAAGGCGGCTCTGCACAGACTTTGGGGGCAGCTCGTACTAGGACATGGCCCACGGAAGGAGACCGCACAGTTTCTAGCTTTCGCCTCCATCACAGTCTAGTCTCCTTCTCAAAGTCAGCTGGAAACAGCCTTTGAAACACTAGGATGAAGACTGAAGGGCAGAGGATGAGTGATGAACAAGGTGAAGGAACTCTGTGCTCCATTGTAATGGGGTAGGGATCAAATCACACACCTGTCATAGGGCCTAAACTAGAAACAGCCCTACAAATACCCATGATCAAGTCATTAATTAATAGCCAGGTACCAGTGGTTCATGCCTAGAGTCCTAGCTATGCAGGAGGCTGAGATCTGAGAATTGTAGTTCAAAGTCAGGAAAGTCTGTGAGACTCTTATCTCCAGTTAACTAGTAAAAAAGCTGGAAGCACAGGGCGAGGAAGGTGGCTCAGTGGTAGAGCGCTTGGCTTGCATGCATGAGGCCCTGGGTTCGATTCTTCAGCACCACATAAGCAGAAAAAGCCGGAAGTGGCACTGTGGCTCAATGGTAGAGCTCTAGCCTTGAGCTGGAGAGCTAAGGGACAGCACCCAGGCCCAGAATTCAGGCCCCACGACCAACAACAACAACAACAAAAAAGCCAGAAGCTGAAAAAAAAAAGGAAGAAGAAATAAAATCTGTAGAGCTGTACCTTGGGAAGCAGAGGTCAGTGAGAAGAAAGTCAGGAGCTCAAACCACTCATGCCCAGGGCCCAGGAGGCCAATTAAGGCCACTGTTGAACAAGATCTCATTAGTCCTTTTGTCATTGATTTTGGACCAATAAATAGTAGAAGAAAGAAAGAAAGAAAGATGCTTTTAAAAAAATAAAGGCCATGGTTTCCCTTATTTGCAATATCTAGTATATGTCTGAGTCAAGCAGAAAAGGTCAGATAAGGTGATGTTAGAGAAATGAACCCTAAGATATGTATTCAAATGTTTTTTTTCTTTCAGTGATTGTTTCTAACACATTTATACGATTATTTCTTTGTTGTTTTGTATGTCCCTCCCCCACCAACTAATTGGGAAAAAATATTTACCAGCAACATATCAGACAAGGGGTTAACATCTTGTATATAAAGGGAACTCAAGAAAAAATATTTACTAGCAATATATCAGACAAGGGGTTAACATCCTGTATATACAGGGAACTCAAGAAACTAATCCCTCCTAAACCTAACAAACCAATTACTAAATGGGCAAGGGAACTAAAGAGGGACTTCTCAGATGAAGAAATAAAAATGGCAAAGAAACACATGGGGAAATGT